TTTAACGTGCACAACCTGCAGCAAGCGCTTCTTGGTTTATTGTCCCATTCGTACGACTTGGCCTCTTACCTGCATCACTAACATGGGGAACCGGGTTGAAAAATTCGAAGGTATTATTTAGACTTTCAACCCTTTTCTCCTTTCATGATCCTTGAACAATTGTATTACCACCTTTCCCCACTAAATCCTAAATTTACGTTTTCCCTATAAAAGCGGTTCGTTACAACAAACTCACCTGTTTTATGAGTTCCTGGTGTTTCAGTGTTTTTCCTTCAAAAATCAAACTAGAGAGTAAAATACAGGTTTATACACGCATTTAAAAATTGTTTACTCTGCATATACACTAGTATACTTAACAATTCTCGACTATCAAACGTTTCGGTTCATGGATTTTAGTTTACAAAAAGCTAATTTCAAACATCTTTATGATGTGACCTCACCCGCTCGACCATGACAAGAGGGCAATAATACATTTAAATACTTAAAAAAAAAATTGTGCATTCCAAGTAAAATGTTGATTTCTCATTATATTCCCATTGTAAATCGTCCGTAACAAGACAGGGTTACACGGGCAACTTGATTTTGTACAGCATTTCACGTTTCCACAATTTAATGTATTTTATGAACATGAGAAACTTTTGTTGTGCACTATCCCTAGTGTTGTATACTGTCCCCTAGTGTTGTATACTGTCCCCTTGTGTTGTGCACTGTCCCCTTGTTCTGAGCACTGCCCCCTGGTATTATACACTGTACCATTGTGCTGGGCGCTGTCCGCTTGTGTTGCGCACTGTTCCCTTGTTCTGAGCACTGCCCCTTTGTATTATACACTGTCCCATTGTGCTGTGCACTGTCCCCTTGTGTTGTGCACTGTTTCCTTGTTCTGAGCACTGCCCCCTTGTATTATACACTGTCCCATTGTGCTGAGCACTGTCACCTTGTGTTGTGCACTGTTCCCTTGTTCTGAGCACTGCCCCATTGTATTATACACTGTCCCATTGTGCTGTGCACTGTCCCCTTGTGTTGTGCACTGTCCCCTTGTGCTGAGCACTGGCCCCTTGTATTGTACACCTTTCGATTGTGTTGTGCGCTGTCCACTTGTATTGTGCACTGTCCCCTAGTGTTGTACACTGACTCCTTGTGTTTTGCACTGTCCCCTTGTGCTGTGCACTGTCCTCTTGTGTGGTGCACTGTTCCCTTGTGCTGAGCACTGGCCCCATGTGTTGTGCACTGGCCCCCTGAATTATACATTGCCCCATTGTGTTGTACAGTGTCCCCTTATGATACACACTGACCCATTGTGTTGTACAGTGTCCTCTTATGATGTACGCTGTCCCCTTGTGTTGTGTACTGTCCCCTAGTGTTGTGCACTGACTCCTTGTGTTTTGCACTGTCTCCTTGTGCTGTGCACTGTCCTCTTGCGTTGTGCACTGTCCCCTTGTGCTGAGCACTGGCCCCATGTGTTGTGCACTGGCCCCTTGAATTGTACACTGTCCCATTGTGTTGTACAGGGTCCCCTTATGATGTTCACTGACCCATTGTGTTGTACAGTGTCCACTTATGATGTACGCTGTCCCTTTGTGTTGTGCACTGTCCCCCTGTGTTGTGCACTATCCAACTGTGTTGTATACTGTCCCCTTGTACTGTGCACTGCCCCTCTGTGTTGTGCACAAACGGGTCTTTTAGGGTTATAATCGACTAAATATTTGTATTACTCGGTGATAAAGATTACATTCAGCTATATGTATTACTTTTCAGAACCTGTTCACTTACACAGTGGTGTAATTACCATCTAACCGATATTACGACGTAATTACTGAAAACGCAGGCAGAAGCATCTTTCATTATTCTCACCTCTGGTAGATACTTTGACAGCCGACAACTTTCAAAATAGCTAACAGAGGCTGAAATAAGGGAAGACGTCCCGGTCTAGAATGAACGGTGTTTACTGACCTCTGGTTTAGTGACGAGTTTATTTGGGGTGTACTTCGTGCCCTTTCCCCTACACCTAATGCCACGCCCCTTTCCCCCCTTCTAGTACACCTGATGCTAATCACCAACTACAATTATTGTAAATCATTTTATTTAAATACACATAGATAATGATGATTATTTTAATATTTATTATATTAGAGACTATAAATACAAGAATATAGTTTAGGTTTAGAGATTTAAATAATGTTTGGCGTATTTTTCCGTGGCCATTCTATCTGGTTTTCTATTCCGATTGACAGGAATCTTGTCCATTAAAATAAAATAGCGTGGACAAGCTGATACATGTTCCAGATCTTCAGGGACAAAACTATTCATACAGAATTC